AAAAAAAAAACAAGCCTCTGGGTGACGTTGACACGTGCTTGACTTTGAGAACCCCTGGTCAAGGCTGATTGTTTTCAGGCATTTTTTAAGCAGCGGAAGCCCTTTCGAGATTCCCCAAAAGAAGCAGCAGGCGGAAAAGGGGGTGCTGTGGCTGATACCTGGGGCAGGTTCACCTGCCAAGTTCTCGGCCTCCCAGAGACATGCCTTGAGATTTTCTGGTTTAATCATTACCCCCAAGGTTCTCACTTTGCACATTCCTTCTCTTGGGGAAACTGGGCAGACAACACCCAAAGCAAGAGAAAGGCATCACAGGAGGAAGAAACCTAAAACAAAATGGAAGAGAACAGAAACAGACAAAGCAACAGGCCCACACAAGGGAGGCAAGGACAAGTCCAGGAAGCGTGTTTAATCGGCATGACATGGACAACATACAGCAGGAGCACGGGAAGGCCTGGGCATGCCACACGGCCCCGTCCACCGGCCAGGGCCTACCCCTTCCCCAGAAACACACACCAGAGGAGTCAGACAAGACAGCACCCCAAAAAGAGGCTCAGAGGGGCTGGGAAGGCAAGCAGGGAAGGAAACAAACAACTACGCCAGGAAACAGTGCCTTTTTTGGTTTGTTTTTGCAAGAGTCACCCAAATTCCTCTCCAAAGCTGCAGGCTCCAGGTGAGGCACCAACAATTCAGGGCATGGCTTCCACCTCTGCAGGAGGCTGGGGTCACCGCGCTCATGTCCAGGCCGTGCCAGGCCCCTGGGAGGCACCCGAGCAACCACTCTTGCTCCCATGGAAGGGAGGCGGAAACTGAGACCCAGCGAGCAGAAGTGATTTGCAGAGTCCCAAGGAAGCTGCCCACTGAATCAGACCGAGAGTGAGGTGGGCCTCCCTGGGGCCACGAGCCACTGCAGTGACAGGGGAAGACAGGGCCACGTGCAGCAGGGGGCAGGGGGTGTTCTGCATTTATCTCAGTCCCGGAGAGCAGACAGAGCCTGAGCCTGGATGCCAAGATGCCAAGACAGAAGATGGGACCAGCTGTTTATTCAACAAAAGCCTTTTTATTCATTCAAAAATTAACCATTGGGTTTATTCTGCAGATATTTAAAAAAAAAAAAAGGGCGGTTGGCAGGGCAAGGCTTCCCATCACCGCGCCCTTATGCTAGTTCACCTGCAGGGGGCGTCTGGGAACACACTGCCAAGAACGTGGAGGCCCAGGCCCTCCTGGCTGCCCACCTCCCTCTGGACCACCTGCTGGGCAGGACTGCAGCCCCCAGATGCCTTTGAGGCTCGCCAACACCAGGGGGCGCCCCATGCCTCCTTGAACCCCTTACAAGCTGAAACTGTGCTGGGAACCGGCTGGCTTTCCAATTGGCAATGGGGAGGGGGGGAAGAGTGGGGGCTTTCTCTCCTGGGAGGGACCCCCAGGCTTCCCGACCTCCCCCAGCCCTCTTCCCACGAGAGACAACGTCCCCGAAAGCCCAGGTGCGTTGTTCTAGGAAACCGGCTGTCGGGTGGGGAAGCGTTCCGGGGGAAGAGATGTACAGAGGGTGACACCTATGCTAGCCTGGATGTCATTTAAACGCTGCCCGTTAAATAATGGAAACATCGTCAGGTTCTCCGGAGTCACCATCGACACAAAGTGAGGTGCAGACACTGAGGAAGAGGCCTGGCCCCCGCCCCGCCCCGCCCGGCATGACGCTCTGCAGAGGGGCTGAGGGCCTGGCCTCTGGGGCGGACGCCAGGGAGGGCAGCAGGCGCCCAGCGGGGCAGGGCCTCAGTGGAAAACAAAGTAGGGAAAGGCGAGGGCTGCGCAGGAGGGTCTGGCCTAAGGCTCTGAGGGTGCCGCCACAGAACCTCGGCGGTGAGAAGAGGGTACAGAAACCGGTCCCTGCCTGGCAACCGTGAGCGAAAGTGACCAGTGTCCAGTCAGAAGGGAGAACCTTCTGGCAGCTCTGGGCTGTCTCAGGGCTTGGGACACAGGTGTGCCCGAGGCATAGGCCCGAAGGTCCCCAGGACACCGCCTGCTAAGGACAAAAGCCACACCGTGGCTCCAAACCAGGAAGAAGGCCAAAGGGCAGGGCGACTCGGCCACAGTGGCTTTGCCGTGATGCCTCCGGGACAGGAGGCACAGCAGCACCGCTCCCACTTGACCAGAGAGGCAAGTCGAGGCTCAGGCAGAGGCCAAAGAGAAGGAAGCTGACCTGGGAAAGACCCCACTCTCATTCTCTCAACCCCAAGTCGCCAAGTCCGTCCCCTGCCCTGGGACCCCAGCTGGGAGCCGCCTGAGGAACGGCAGCGACGGGTGGTGAGCCCAAGACCTCCCGGGCAGAAGCCGGCCAGCAGGGTGCCCGAAGAGTCCACCCTTCCAAGTTGCCTGTGAAGGCAGAAGCACTGCTCCCCACCCCCGCAGGACCTGGGGGGTTGACGGTGGGGCCAGAGCGCAGCCAAAGGGGCTGCCCATGCCAGGGGGAGATGGCGGGAGCTGGCCGACTGCCCAGCTGGGGTGTGGACGCGGCAAAGCTGCTCTGGCAGAGGATTTGTGTGCCCAGAAGCCTCCGTGCCGAGGGTGGAGCAGCAGGCAGGCCTGGCCTCCTGGGTGTGCAAAGTGGAGAGCAAGGACAACTCGGGGGAGCCGAGGGCCAGACCTGCCCCTGGGGACGGGACGATAGGACGTGGGCTTTGCAAAGCAGCAGCAAGAATTCCAGACCCAGGCCTGGCCCCGAACAGTTGGGAGGCTGCTTCTCACCCCACAAGGCTTCCCTCGGTGAGGACTAGTTCTGGGCCAAAAAGGGAGCTCAAGGGTCCAGGTGGGACCCGAATTGCGGCTGGGAGGGACAAGGAGTGGCCACCCGACACATCTGGCTTATGGGACAGACCCCACGCAGAAGCAACCAACGCTGTGTGCCCAAAGACTTGGCCACGAGATGCAGCCGGGGCCACGCTGTGACTCCAGCAAACGCAGCCACAGGCTACAGAACCACACACTGCAGGGAACCAAATCCCAGGCTTGGAATGACATGATGTCAGCACGGAAAGGGCCTTCAGGACCAACCAGGCCAGGCCCCCAGCTCTGCACGCTGGGCAGCTGGGGCCCAGAGGGCAAGGGCCAGACCTGGGACTTCTGACCTCTGGTCCAGGGTCACCTGACATTGCTGGTGACGGCTGTGGGGCCACTCCTGCCTCAGTGGCAGGCAGAGCTAGAAGCCTCCCGTGAGGGCGTGCCGGCCACAGCCCCAGGAGCAGAGACTCTCTCAATGGGACTGCCGGGAACTCTGCTCTGCTCCCCTCTCCGCCAACCCTTGAGCTAAGCGAGGGACAGTAAAGAACACCGTGTCCTCCGCTCAGAAAAGCAGACAGGGAGGTGGGAAGGCCGAGCAGAGAGTCCTGGATATCTTCAAGCCCCCGCCCCGCCCAAGGAGGTGGAGGCGGCCCTTACTTCTGCCAACGTCTCGCAGAGACCGACCCTCCCTACGCGGCCGATGTACCCGGTCCTTCTTCCTGGAGTCCTGTGTGAGCACAAGGCTCTTCGTTTCCCATACCGCGGCAAACAGAAAAGTGAGAGTTAAGAAATCTAAAGATGTTCCCTGTTCGTCCTCGGAAAAAATGTGATGGACCCAGAGGAGAACAAGGTTGGCAGGGGGTGGGGGGCAGCAGGGAAAGGGGACTTGGGGGGACATCCGGCTGGAGAAAACAGTGCATTAGCCAGTCAGGAAATCCTACCTCTCCCCTCTCCGAACATCAAGCACAGTATCTGAAAAAAAAAAAGTGTTTTTTGGCATCTCGGCCTGCTGCAGGCCACCGGCCTCCCGAGCGAGCGTGGCGGGCGGGCGGGCGGGCGGGGCGTGCACATGTAAACGGGGGCCCCCAGCCCTGGGAGCTGCAGGCCCGGGAGGCAGCAGCAACGGTTAACAACCAATAAATAAAAGATATCAATTATATATGTATATAAAAAAAACCTCACTTTCCCCACAAAGAGCACAATACTGTTATCACAAAAAATCGTCACCCTCATCGCTAATCATCCTGGCCACGCAGGTGGTTTTGCTGCTAAAAGGGACGACAGGTAACGCTAATCGGCCAGGCCCCCTGACACCCAGGCCCGCCACCGCCTCTCGGCTGCCAGGGGACCGGGGGCTCGGGGGGTGGGAGGGGCGGAAGTCCCCAAGGCCTTCTCCCCATCTTTCAGTCTGTGTCTTCTAGGACAGAAGGTAGTCGTTTTTTTCTTTTAGAACGTCTGTTTGAAATAAAAAACGAAAGCACACGCAGGAGAGCGGGAGGAACCGAGGGGCTGCCTGCGAAGCGGCCCGAGTCCGTGGTTTTGCAGAGGGCTGTAGCCTTTTCCGTTTCGTTGTGTCGTCTTTCGAGCGGAGGTTTTTGGCAATTGGAGCCGGTGGCTTCAGGTGGCGGGTGGGTGCAGGGCAGGGGCGGGGAGAGCCGGGGCCTCCCGGCACGAGGGCAGCCAGCCGGCCTGTGTGGACGCGGAGGAAGGCCGGGGGGCACGTGGGGCGGTGTCGGGGCGGAGGTGGCCTCGTGGCACGGGAGGAGGCGAGTGGTTCCCAGGCATCTGGAAGACACAAGGGGGCAAGCCAGGTTAGGGGGGCTGCCAGGGACAAGCGGGCAGGAAGGCTGGCTGGGGGCAGGGTGGCATTCTACGCCAGAAAGCCCAAACATGTTCCTAACCTCCGACCCGCCCACGGGGTTCTTGGTGCTTATCCTTAATAAATAAATAAGATGTCCACCACAGTATCACCTGTAACAGTAAAAACCGAAACAAAACAAAACGAAAAAATGGAAGTGAGGGGGAACAACCTAAGTGTCCAATATCAGGGGATTAGGTAAATAAATTAGGACACTCCCGCAGGATAAACTGGTTTACAAACATTAAAAACAGGGCACGGAATGGCCAGTAAGGACAGGAAAAACACACAGTGTCATTAGTCATTGTGTTCTCCTCCCCAGGTGACCGTGAACCTTTGTGACTTGCCCCACTCTCCTTGCGACAGCCCAAGGGGGTCTTTGTCCCTTGCAGTTGAAGGAGCTCTGACTGAGGGCCCACGTGAAAGAACGTTCAGCCTAGTATCTCCCAGTCAAAAACTGCAAACATGAAGCTCATCAAACATATCTAGATTCATAGTGACAGTTTTTTTAAAAAGTTGCTGGTCACATCTACCGAGTATCAGAAAACCAACTCATTTTGTAAACTGGTAAATAAAGAGAAAGAATGGGGCAGCTACCCTGTCTTTCCTGTTAAAAACCAGGCCTGGAGGTCGCCAGGTAACTGAGGAGGGGGCGTCTTTCCCTTTGTGGAATGAATCCAGCTAACACGTGAAGAAGGAAAGGCAGCGTTAGAACGTCACTGGTTTGCATGATTGAATCTAAGCAATGACCGACAATGGCTGCTGACGTCCCCAGAAGTTTGTGCAGCCCGGTGGACTCACACACCACCACTCGTGAGCTGTTCTTTTCCAAAACGGCCTTGGCATCCCACTACTCTCCACCACCGCACGAGGATGTTTCCATGCCGAGGGGTTTTCATCCCTCCCCCAAATTGTCAACAACCTAAGAGTCCAACACCATGGGACTAGTTCAATCACAGCCAGGCCATATCGTGGAATACTACGCAGCTGTTAAAAAGGATGGTCTCAAACAATATTTAATGATGTGGAAAATAAGCATGATCGCAAGCATAATTCATTGACTGAAGGGCCAATAAATTATGTAACAGCAAGTTATCTAGGGAGTCAGAGACATCTGGAACCCGAGGAGGCAAAAGAATCGCAAACGTGATAGAGCATGATGAGATGTCATGGCTGCGAGTCTTCTCCTGGAAATGTCGTGCAGAAGGAAGAAGGCCACTTCCTGGCAGAGCTAGAGAAAGGTGGGTCACGTCGAGGGACAGCCCGTGTCACTAGGAAAGGCGTCTCATGGAAATCACCTGACACGAGGATTTGCAAAAGAGGACCGTGAAAAAGCAGACGAGAGATCAGTATTTACCGTGGGACGTATCAAGCATTTCTATGGCAGAAATAACGAGAGTTCCTTTCCAAATTGGTTTTAATTATGTATTCCCATGTGGCTTTGTTGCTGAGCATTAAGCGTGCAAGCGCTCAGTTCTTTTTAAATCCCTCTGGGCGCTAACACGTTCACTGTGGTTATATCTGGGTCGCATATGAGGAGTTTTAAAACAAACTTTTTAATTGAGGCTTTCTTTCTACACATGTTCCAATGTCTCTTCGATGAAAAAGGATTTCTTGTGTAAATTAATAATAATAATAGAAGCTTCAAAACGGGGCAGGCCTCCTGAACAAAATACCAGCAAATCAAATTTGATGATAAATAAAAAGGATAACACACTCCGGCTCCGCGGAGTTTCTTCTAAGAATGCGAGGTGGCTTAGCATTCAGAAACTATCTGTATGATTTATCATACGAACAACGAAAGAGGAGGAAAGTTATATAAGCACCCTGATAGAAAAATCACTTGATAAAACTCCACGCCATCCATGATTGTTTTTAACAAATACATCCTAGCACACTACAAAAGATGGAAACCTCCTAAATCCACCTATCTACAAAAGTCTGTCTACAGGAGAGCAACAGCAAACATCGTCACTGAGGTGAGTGATCAGAAGCGTCTCCCCGCGCTTGTACAACACCACACGGGTGGTCCCGTCCGGTACAACTAGGCAGGAAAAGGAAACAAAAGGCAGAGGGTAGGAAAGGAAGAAATAAAGCGTAGACCACCCAGAAGAATCTGAAGCAGACTCTCAGATCTCACAGATGAATTTAGCAAGCGCCTGGATATAGGGTCGATAAACAAAAACTGAATTTCTATAAACCAGAAACAAACAGAAAACACAATTTTAAAATTATGATTATAATGCATCAAACATCTAGGAATAAATCTATCAAAAGATGTGAAAGATTTTTTTTTAGCTGAAAACAATAAAATGGAATAGAGAAAAAATTTTAAAGACCTAAATAAATAGAGACATATACCATTTTCATGGATTGGAAGACTCAACATTATAAAGATGCCAATTCCGCTCAAATTGAACTGCAGATGCAACTCAATACAATCAAAATCTCAGCCCACGTGTGTGTGGTACATGTATGTGTGTGTGTGTGTGTGTGTGTGTGTGTGTGTGTAGAAATTTATAAGTTGATTCTAAAATTTACATAGGAATGCCTAAAGTAGTCCAGGTATTCCTGGAAAAGTGATGAGGTGTCACTTCTAAGATTAGGTTATAAAAAGGCTTCCCCCTTGGGCTATCTTTCTCCTTCCCTCTTGGAGAGCTCACCTTGAGGGAAGCCAGCAACCGTGTCACTCACTCACTCACAGGGCACAGCAGAGAAGAGGCGGGAAAGGAGGTGAGAAAAGGTGAGAAAGAAAAAAGGAAGACAGTTGCCTGCCAGCACTCTGCTGGGGCAGGCGCTCATTCCGCACAACGAATCCAACTGGATAAAAAGAAGGACACGCACACGTCTGAGCGATTGCAAGAGAGACCCGGGAGCTGAGGTCTTCGGGAGGGGCTGAGACCCCAGCCCTCACTGAGTACTGACTTTCAAAGTGTCTTCTGTGCAGGCAAACTTCAGTTCAAGCAAACTCACAGGCTGAATCCAGGTATATAAAAATGATAAAAACAGGCTGGCCGCGGTAGCTCACGCCTGTAATCCCAGCACTCTTGGAGGCCGAGTGGGGAGGACTGCTTGAGCTCAGGAGTTCGAGACCAGCCTGAGCAAGAGTGAGACCCCGTCTCTACTAAAAAATTTTTTAAAAAAGAGAAAAACAGAGGGACTCTGGTTCATTTGCCCCCCAGGCCCCCACTCCCGGCCGTGCAGACCCAGGCACCCCTGGAAACCCAGGCACTCACCCGCCAGCCCTAGGCGTCCTGTGGCTGGGTTTCACCCCTGCCCCCACCCCAGGCCCTGGGTGCTCCGACTCACCGCAGCTCTGGGCCCTGGACTATACCAGCCCGTCGTAGAGGGACAGCGCCTGCACGATGGAGGGGTCTGCCTTGGACCCTTCCTGGAACTCCTGCAGCGTCAGCTTCCCGTCCGCGTTCTGCAAGCAGGGAGAGGCCGCTGAAGGCGGAGCCCGCCTGCCTCCCAGGAGCGCGGCTCTGGGCCAGGCCTGCCCAGGGCTGGTCCCAAGAGAACCTGCACGTCAGGTCAGGAGGGAGCAGCGCGGCACGGCCCAGACAGACCTCGGCACTCACAGGCCGGGCGACCCTGGGCCTGTGCCCACCTCTCTGGGCCTCTGTCTCCCGTCTGAGGACTGAGGATAACTGGGTGGCTTCCTCGGGGCACTGCGGCGAGAGCTCCCCGCTTGGCAAATGAATCCGCCCATCACTCTGCGCTTATCATTGTCACGGCTGCGAACTCCCATGAACGGTGGTGGGGTCACTCCTGGGAGGGTGTTTAAACGTCCCCTGGGGCAGCCCGCACAGGCCCCAGGAGGCCAGGGTAGGGGCCCATGCAGAGCCCGGAGGAACCTCAGCGGGTCTGTGGGGGAGGGGACGGCTGGGCTGGAATCCCTGCCCTGGAGCGTCTCTGGAGGAAACCTGTGGGGCCACAGGGAAAAGGCAGCCGCGGAGAGCAGCACCTGCGTGGCCTTGGCTCCCCAGGGAGGGTGACCGATGGCGGCGGCCTCCCTGGCAGCCACCGCGCGGCTGTGCTCGGGGGACAATCACTGCGAATCCGGCACCTGCGAGCACAGTACGAGCTTGATCTCATGGGATCCTCACGGACACCCGGGAAGAGGGTGCTGCCCTCGTCCCCACTGACTGACTGGTAAGGAAACTGAGGCTCAGTCACCTCCCCAGGGTCCCATGGCTGGTTCCGACAACGTCAGACTCCAGGGCCTGTGCTGTTTCCCAAAATAAGGGAGGTACGAATGGGAAGGTTTAGGGGGTGCAGGGCCTTGGCACCGAGCAGCGCTGACTCACGCTGTTAGACACTTACTATTCCTTGTTCCACGCCCTGTGGGTAGATCTGATTGTTACCCAGAGGCCAGCCCAGTCGGGGGCTAGCACATCTTTAGCGGCCTCGACCACGCCCTGGTAGAGGGCCCTTTGCTAAGCAAGGAAGCACAGGCCTCAGGCTCCAAGCTTCAAGGCCAAGCAGCATGTCCAGCCCGGACATAACGAGAACCCCTGTCGCAGTGATCTGTGTTCTTGTACTGAAAGCGAGCAATACTGATTTCCTTACCACTGTGGTTTCACATGTTCGTTGAAAAACTAAGACATTTTAGTTTAAAATGAGTCTGGGGGGCAACGTTCATTATTCGGGTGATACAGACACTAAAGGCCCAGCCGTCACGACTGCACAATATAGCTGTGTAACAGAACCTACACCAGTAAAGAAAGTGTGACTTAAAGAAAGGCTTCCTAACCTGGGCTCTGTGGGTGGAGTCCAGCAGGCCCGCGAGCCTGGGGGAGACGTCAGTCTTTCCTTCCACTAACCCTAAGGGAAATGTAGCTGTCCCTCAGCGTGGGCCTCGGCCACCATTCTCAGCAGAACCAGCCGTACCCAAGACAGTGTCGACAGCAGGGATCATGGGTGTTTTCACAGCACACCACGGTGGCTGCAGATGTCACCGCTTCAAAACTATGGGGCTTATCAGAGCCACCACATCTTATCATTCAATGTATTCACAGAGGGGTTCATCTAATACCATATTACAAACTCTTTTTTAAGAAATACTTTGACAGCTGCATTCCAAAATAACTGGCCTCCTTTTTTTTTTTTTTTTTTTGGAGACAGAGTCTCGCTTTGTTGCCCAGCCTAGAGTGAGTGCTGTGGCGTCAGCCTAGCTCACAGCAACCTCAAACTCCTGGGCTCAAGCCATCCCCTTGCCTCAGTCTCCCGAGTAGCTGGGACTACAGGCATGCGCCACCATGCCCGGCTAATTTTTTCTATATATATTAGTTGGCCAATTAATTTCTTTCTATTTATAGTAGAGACGAGGTCTTGCTCTTGCTCTTGCTCAGGCTGGTTTCGAACTCCTGACCTCAAGCAATCCTCCCGCCTCGGCCTCCCAGGGTGCTAGGATTACGGGCATGAGCCACCGCGCCCAGCCTGGCTTCCCTTTTGATTTTATGGATTTTAATGTATGTACTTAAAGCCATTATTCTGAGAAGCTTGTAGACTTCTCTAGAATGCCAAAGGGATCTGTGGCAAACAGACAGACAAAGGGGTTAAGGACCTTGGCCGATTAAGGAAAACAAGTTGGGCAAACTGACTTAAAACCCAGGACATTGGATGGGGATGGCTGCCAGCTGGGGACGGGACACCAGGCCACGCCGCCTGCCTTAGTGTCAGCAGCAAGGCCAGGCCCAGGCTGCGGGGTGCCCCTCGCCCCCACACCTCGCCTCCCTGATCAAGGGCCGCCCCCCGCCCAGCCTCACCTTGTCCATCATGGCAAAGATCCGGTCCACCCTCTTCTCCGGAGTGTTCTCCTCCTCGGGGAGCTCCACGGTGTTCCCCTGCCAGGGACAGATGAGGCGGGGGCTGGGCCCTGGCACCCTGGGCTTTGGGCTCCTGGCCAAACATTTGCGCCCCGGGCCTGGCTGGTTCCAGACGGGGGCCACCTCCGCCTCCCACTCCCGTCTCGGCCATTCTGCTCGGAGCACCCTCCCAGCCTGCCCAGGCGGAGACGGAGGGAGCGACCCAGCCAGTGGCCCCCACTCTGACCCTGGGCAGGGAGCGGCTGCAGGGGTGTCCCCTCCCTCCAGGCCCGCTGGCTAACGCGGACGCCCTCCCTCCTTCCCCGCCGCACGGGAGCGCCTCTCACCACCATCTGGTAGATGGCGTCCACGATGTCCAGCATCTCGCTCCTGGTGATGTAGCCGTCGTTGTCCAAGTCATAGAGCTTGAAGGCCCCTGGGAGCAACCACACAGGGCTGAGCGCCCCCGGCCCAGGCAGGGGCTCTTCACCCCACCCTCCTCTCTGCACCCCAACAGGAAGTCGGGGATCAGGTCACCCCGGTACTCATCAAGGCCAACGTATATGCCAGGATAGACGGACAGACACACACACACACACACACACACACGCCATGGCAACTAGGGCTGAAATAAAATAAAAAAGAAGCGGGCCATGAGGGCTGCCAGGGCCGGGTCTCAGCAGCCGAGCAGAGAGAGGGCGCGTGGCACCCGGGACGTGGCCAGAGGGAGCCCCAGCGCTGCCCTCCCCTCCCGCAATGGTGATGCGCCTGCCATGGTCTGCGTCAGAAGATAAATCGATACATTGGGAGGGGAGATTTGCATAAATAAAATTCTCTCTTATTTCTAAAAAAAGAAAAAGAAACTGCAGGGTTTCCTCACGGCCCACGGGACGAAGTGCAGGGGTCTTGGCGAGCAGGGAGTTCTGGCCAGACCGTGTTCATCTCCTGCCCTCAGCTCCCGCTCCATGCACCCCGAGTTCCCACTAAGAGCCCCCTCTTGTCTCCCCCTCGGGCTCCCTCCAGGGCCCTGCACACGGGCCCCTCCCAGCTCGGCGCCCACCCCCACCCAGGCCAGCTCCTCTCCTGCAGCTCAGCTGTAGTGTCTCGGCGTGTTCGAATCCTGCCGCCGACCCAGACTGACAGCACTGGAAGCAGGGACCTGCCCGTCTCACCCCCAGTCCCAGCCTGCAGCCTGGTCCTGACAATCCACTGCATTCAGTGGATATTTGCTGAATGACATGTGAGCAAATGAACGCGTGAAGTTGGTCATCAGAGCAGCGGCCTCTGAAGAGGGCGTCTGGCACCGGCCCTGGCTCTCTGGTTCTGCCCCACCCCGCCCTCTGCCCAGATCTGCACCTGCAGGGACGTGACCGTGGCCCCCGTCAGCCTCCTGGCCCCCGTCCGCCCTGCCTAAGCCTCGTTCCCGCTGCACGGCCACCTCCAGGCAACCTCCTCCGACCTGGAAGGGCAGATGTCTGCGCCACTCTCAGCCCTGGACAGGTGGCCTGGCCAGGCTGCGTGGCCATGTGCGCCCCACCTGCCCAGGGCTCAGCGCTCTGGCCTCTGCAGAGGGACGGGGGTGTCATCTGCGGTCACTACCTGCGTTTCTAGCGCCCCCGCCACTGAGGGCCACAGGCTGTTTCCCTCTGGCCTGAGACCACCAGTGGCTGCCCCAAAGGGTGGGGGTCAGGACTCACACCGCAGCTTCTCGTCCAGGGTTCCCCGCGAGGTCACCGACAGCGCCTGGATGAACTCGGAGAACTCGATCCGCCCGTCCTGACAGGAGAGAGGAGCACGGCCTCAGTCAGCGCCGGGCCACCAGGCAGGCCAGAGCTGAAGCGGGGGTAGAAAAGCGGCCGGCCGGGCAGCAGGTACAGGCAGAAGGGCTGAGGCTGAGAGGAGACTGACTCCACGTCTGCCTGGAGAAAGAGCCGGAAGCACCAACACACGCCGCTCTCTTGGCGGGAGCTGCCCGGAAACCCCTCAGCCTGGAACTCCAGGCTCAGGGGCTTCGCGAGCGGAAGGGCTCTACAGGCTGATCCTGCCCATCTGGGTTGCAAGTGAGGAAATCGAGGCCCAGAGAGGGCAGAGCCCTTCCCAGGGTCAGGAGTCTGACTCCCAGCCTGGGGGCACCTGGGAGAGAGCTGGGGTGTGACAGAACGGAAACCACCCTAGTGCCGACGGCAGGAGCGTGGCAACAAGTGACAGTAAACCCACCCGTGAGTGCCATGGGGGGAATGCCGGGGCAGGACAGGGTCTGGAAGGCTGTGGATACCCCAACAGTGGGCACGCAGGCGGTCAGCCTGGCCATCACCAGGAGTAGACACATGCTACAGCATGCATACGTCTCGGAAGCATGGTGCTCAGTGAAAGGAGCCAGGCACAAAAGATCCCATGTCGTGTGATCCTCAGAGCCTCAGTTTCCTCATCTGCAAAATGGGGGTACTAATAATATCTATCCCATATAGTAAATGTTGGTTGTGATTATTAATCCTATATCCCCAGAAGCTTTTGCATTTTGTGCTTGTAAGAGAAAAATTAGGGTGTACACGTGTCACTCTGTACATGTGTGTGCATGTGAAAGTTTGTGCATCGTATGCACGTGCATGCACTATATGCATGGTACGGACATTCGCGTGTGTTCACACATGTGTGCACACACATGCATTTGTGTTCATCTCTCTGTGCATGCGTGGTATATGTATGTATGTGCACAGGCATGTGAGTTCATATGCATGGGTGTGTGTGCGTTTGTATGCACCTGTGTTTACTGTGTGTGTACATGTCCATGCATGTGTACATGTGTGTGCATTTGTGTGCAACTATGTATATGTGTTTGTGAGTGTGCACGTGTGTGTGCATTCCTTCTGGAGAAGGGACGTGAGCAGGAGAGGGTGGGCGTGGAGACGCCGCGGGCACCCGCGGGAGCTGAGCAGGCTGCTGCAGGAGGAAGGAGACTCCGGGCTGGCGCAGGCCCCATCCATCCCCAGCTCACCTTGTTTTCATCGAAGACATTGAAGACAAACGTGGCGAACTTGGTGGGGTCTCCAAATGGGAAGAACTGCTTGTAGATCTTCTGGAAGCCTGCCGCATCCAGCTGCCCACTGGGGCAGTCTTTGATAAAGCCCTTGTACCTGGAGGCAGAGACCAGGCAAGACAGGGTAAGAGATGTGGGCAGCCCCCGCCCACCAGGTGCTCCTGCCCGGGGTCCAGGAAAGCTGCGGATCGCTGTTCAAAGAGAAGGTGCCATGTGAGGTCACGGGCAAGGGCCTGGACATCACAGGCACAGGCTCAACCCCACGCCTCTGTCTCTCACGAGCTGTGTGACCTTGGACAAGTGACTTCCCCTCTCTGAGCCTCGTCTGCATATGGGAGATGAGAGTTGATGTAGAAATTAATCCAGATACCACGCGCAGAGCACTTGGCCACCCAGCCCTGTGATCCACACCAGGGGCTAAAACGAGAGTCACACGGATCACCTCCCTGAAGCCACGCTCTCACCCAAGGCCTCCCGCCTCCCCCACCTTCTGCGCTGAGCCTCTCCTGGCACCACAAAGCTGGGCGGGTGGCTGGTGGTGCTGGTGGGCAGAGCCACCATATGGAGCCAGCAGGTGGCTCCTCCCACACGCTGCATCCCCTGTATGCACACCCACCGCCCTACCCCCAGCCTCTGTTCCCAGGGACCTGGGTAAACAGACACTGAAGCAGCACAGGGATCTCAGAGGGAACCCGGCTTGTTCCAGCTGGACTTGTCCACCCTGCGCCCAGCGCCCAGCCTAGGACCCTCCAGATACCCAGGCAGGCAATGGTGGCATGGCTTTGTGGTCCAAACCCTGGACCAAACCTCTGCCATTCACTAGCTGTGCAACCTCAGGCAAATGCCCTCACCTCTCTGAGTCTCAATTTCCTGATCTCTGAAAAGGGATGGTTATCACACCTATCTTGTTGGGGTCAGGTGAGATGGGGCCTGGCCGGAGCCCCCGCCTGATCGAGTCCCTTACTCCCTTGATGGGAGCCCCTGTCCTGCCTCCGGCAAGCGGCCTGGAAGGCAGTTTAGCAAATCCCATCTCCCTGGGCGTCCCCTTACTCGTTCTCCCCCAACAGCCCCTCACTCTGCCCGTTGGTGGCCCACCTCCGCCTGTCCTGCTGTCTGGCCACTCAGCCCAGTCTCCCTCCCCCGCTGTAAGAGCCCAGACGCCCTGCAACTGTCCTGAGCAAAGTCTTCCTTTCCATGTTAACAGGGGGCAGAACAACGCTTTCCCTAACAGGGCCTGAGCCACGTCCCCGCCCCACCAGGCCCTCGCCCAGCCCCCGGTCTGAGGCTCTGGGGTCTCCCGCTGCCACGCCCTGTCCCTTCCCAGCACGGCAGGCCATGCCGGATCACACTTGACTGCTAGCTTCTGACGCCGCTGTGCCCGCTGAGCTGCCATGGCCTGGCGCACAGCACGGGCCGGCCGTGCTTGTCTGGCGAATGAGCACAGGCGGCAACACCCGGAGACACTCGGGCTGTCATAACGTGGGGAGCAGGTGCTACTGACGCCTGTTGGAGAGACGCCAGGGACACCGCGAGGCATCCCACGATGCTCAGGACAGGCCCTCGTGACAAACTATGACAAGAGTGCAGGGCAGGGAGACCCTGATCTCCTCCGAACCACTTATTTTACCCTCAGGGGAGCCGAGGGCCATTGTGGGCAAGGGGTTTGCTCAGGGCCCTCCCACGGCGACAGGTCAGGGCCGGGACCGGGGCACAGGCCTGTCCCGGGACCGGAGCAGGTCGCCTGGCGGCAGGGAGTCTGAGGGAGGAGCGGGAGGAGGCCCGGGCCTGTCGGGGCCTGACCTGGCCCGGGGCGGGGGCTGGCGTCGTGTCTCTCAGTCGTCCTGGGGGTGAAATTCTTTGTGCCAAACCAGCAGCTCACTGGGGTGCCGCCGTGGGGAGGGCGAGTGCGCCTGGTCTGGGGCGTCCCGACTCAGCCGGCCAGTGGCAGGCGGGCGGCACCTCCGGTTCGAGGCCGGGGGGCAGCCTGAGAAGGCTCAGCATCACCCCCTGCCCCAGTGAGGCAGGTCTCCTCCCCCTCCGGCGCGGAGCAGCCTTACGTAATGTTTGGGTAGCAGCCTCTACACCGCGCCTGCCTGCCTTCGCGGGGGCAGCCCGGCTTGCGGGAGGGCGGGTGAGGTGGGGGCCTGGGAGGCAGAGCCCCGGGGCTGATCCCCGTTTCTGCTGCTCACTTGCTGCGTGACCTCGGGCCGGTCTCCCTCCCTCTCTGGGCCGCTCCCCATACCCAGAGGGGTGGAAGCCGTCAGTGGATTGCTAACCAGGCCCACGGCCGGAGTCTGGATGTTCTTGTTCCAGGGGCTCAGGAGCAAGCAGCCAGACCCCTGGGCTCCGGCCCTCTCTGCAACCTGGGGGCAGAACCGTGCAGGCTGAGCACTGGACGGTCTGCGGGGACCCCGGGGGCTCAGGGGATCTGCCGCACGTGCCTGCCTTTCCGGTGGTCCAGCGGCCGTCACTGGGAAGCCCCGCTGGGCGCTGGCACTGTGCTCTCCAGGCATGATTTTGCCAATCGCCCCAGCAAGCCTAGGAGGCAAGGACAATTCTGCCCACTTTACAGGTGGAGAAGGTGAGGCGTATGAAGGCTGAGTCCCCGGCCTGGCAGAGGGTCTTCACAGACTGCCACATGGCCACCCGCCCCCTCCGGCCCGCTGGCTCCCCCTACCCTTCCGTCCTCAGCTTCCGCACGTCCCTGAGAGCCTCTGACAGCCAGACGGGCGGCGCGCCCAGTGCACCACTCGCAGCGCCCTGTGCCCGCTGGGCCTCAGAGGCACCTCGAGAGTGACTTGTGCAACGACAGGCCAGTGCCCTGGTGGGCCCTTGAGGCAGGGACCCTGTCTTCCAGCGGATCCCGATTCTGTGCTGCCCGCCACCGTCCCACTGCAGGCTGGCGCCTCGTGCCCAGCACGGTCGGGGGCTCAGGTGGGACCTCAGGGCTCCAGAGGACGGGCGGCCCTGGGGTGCACCTGCAGGCCCCCCTGCAGAGAGGTGCTCAGGTGTGCGGCAGGACAGCGCGGGGAGGTCTCTGCGACCGTGACCCCGACCGCTCGCCGTGCTCACGCCTCACTGGACGCACTGAGCGTGCAGGAGTTCCGTAACGTGAGGAAGGAGTTCAACTTTTTTAAAGTTCAGAGAACTAAAAAAAAAAAAAAAAAAAGGCTCAGACTTCTGAATCAGACCAGGGTCGACCTTGGCTCCAACCTTGACCTGTGCGTGGCCCTGGACAGGTGACTTTCCTTCTCTGAGCCTCAGTTTCCTCATCTGTGAGGTGGGACCAATCTGGCACATGCCTTTCAGCGCCCTGAGCGAACCAGGTCAGTCGGGGCTGACACTGTGAGCAACACAGGGTGTCCCGAGCCCGGGACCCGGGACCTCCCCCGATACCAGGGCTGCCCGTCCTGCCAGCTGTGCTGAGAAGCAGGTCCCGGCACACCCTCCGGCGGCCCCGGCACGTCCTCCCACTCCCTGCCCTCCCGGCACACGGCAAGGGAAGCGCCAGGACCCTCGCTGCCCCTCCCCACGTGCACGGAGGCCACACCTCACACGACCTTGCTCACCAGGGGCTTCACCCTCTGGGAATCAGGGAAACCTACGAGCAGAGGCTCGGGCCGGGCTCGGCTGCGCGCTCGGGGTGCCGCGCCCGCAGCTCCCGGCCACGTGAGGCGGAGATTTCTGTGTTTGGGAACCAGCTCTGCAAGACAGGGTGGAGACGAGAAATGAAAGTCCCAGATTCAACAACTGCATTCTTACCCTGCTCTAAAAGGGAAGGGGAAAAGAAATCTGTCACTGCATAAAAATACAGAAGGCTGACTGCCACCTGCAAGACACTTCCCACCTCGGCGCGGGGCTCCTCCCACCCCTCCCCCACCCGCCCCGGCAGCGCCAGCCTGGGCGAGCGCCCACGTGCCCAGGCACCTCGCCCCCTCCGTCCCTGACGCCTCCTACAACTGGCACTGGCCTGGCGCGCGCACAGCGGGGGCTCAGCAAAGACGCACTGGATGGGCGAGTGAATGAATGCTCGCCGGGACACAGGGTCCAAGTCCAGCTTGCACTCTAGCTCTGGGAGGGCCCCAAGCAAACCCCAACACTGCCAGGGCCTCGGTCTCCCCAGCCCGCCAGGTCTTCCCAGAACCCGCCACACTCAGTTCCCGCAGACCCGCATCCTCCGGGGCCCTGCTGCTCGGCGAGCCCCGCGCCGCCCTCCGTGCCAAGGGTATCTCGGCCGCTGCCTTCCGCAGAGCAAAAGGTGGGAGATAGATAGATGGGTAAATAATACAGCATAACCCCAAGCTGCAATCAGCCAGGCGCAGCTGGGAGGGTGGCAGCCTCGGCAAATTGCCCTCCCATTATCTTTTCAAACGACTCCCTTCCTGGGCGACCCCCTCCCTGGAGGCCTGGAACTCTTCCTCTCCCTCCCACCACAGCCCGTGCTTTTGTGGGTGTCCCATAGCAAGGAGCTGGCAGGTCTGAGCCCCAGAAGCCTGGGCCACGGGGGTGGCGTGAGCGGGGAATGGCATGAGCAGGACCCAGATCCCCCAACACACATGCACACAGCCGTGTGACCTGGGCAAGTGTCTCTACCTCTCTGAGCCTCAGTTTGTTCACCTGTAAAATGGGGCTATTCCTTGGACTCACCCCACGGCACTGTCCTAACTACCAGCACAGCGACTGGCCCGTGGGGCGCAGTGGATGTCGAGGAGAGGGGGTCTCCCCGCCATGCCCGCCTGGGACAGTCCAGGCCCGACGGCGGCCCCGTTGAGGCGTCTTTGGCAATTTCCTCCTGCTTCCACCCGCTATTTTTGTTACAATACTGCCGGAATATTTGGTTATTACAAAAATAATAAAACCAATACAGAAAATTGGGAAAATAGAAGATGTAAGAGACAAAAGTGCCCGTAATCCATGACCCCACCCCAGCCTCTGACCTCCCATCTTTCTTCTCCACCTGCATTTTTTCCATCACAGAATTTTGTCGGACGCACCGTGTGTGTACTGCTATTTCCACTCAGGATGATGTCCTCGTCACTCACCAGGTGATGAGGGGCCTGGGACCTGCTGCCATTCCTTAACCAGCTCCGGCCATGGCCCCTGATCTCCCCCGAGTGAGCCGGCTCAGGTGAGTGGCACCTGGGCAGGTCGAGGCAGCTGGGGGGGGGGGGGCACCGGCTGGCTCCACCCGACAAAGCTCCAGCTCCTCCCTCTGCCGAACACTGACAGCTGCACGGCAGCCCAGAGTCGGGAAGCCCAGGCGCCGGCACCGAGGGGCACCCAGCGTGCAGCCTAGTGCGGGCTGAGCGTGGCCTGGACAGCCCGTCACTGTGGCCTGTGCTCCTGACAGCCTGGGATCTCCCAGGGGACCTGGGACCCGACCAGCGCCGGGACCTGGGTTCCAGTCTGGGCTCTTGTACCCACTGCATGGCCCGGGACAAATGGCAGAACCCACAAGAGCCCCACACGGCAGCTGCGGAAAGTCAGCACAAAACAAGACGATCCCATGTCACGCCGGCGAGACGGGGAGCTGACACAGAGTGAGGATGTGGCTGATGAGCTGGAGCTGCCATGCTGAGGCTGGAGCCCGTGGGGACGGCAGGGGAACAGCAAGGATGGAGGCTCTGAGGCAGGGAGAGCTGGGCATGGGAGGGGGACAGGGATCGTAGCTGATGTCTGGTGACCCAGGGGAAAAGGTGAGGTCGCAGACCTTGGGGAGCCCTGTGGGCCAGGCGAGGAGCTGGGGCTTTATTCCGAGTGCAGTGGGAAGCCACGGCGGGGCGGGCCCCATCTGCACGGCTCTCGGGAGGGCGCGTGGGGCTCAGCGCGGCCATGTGGGGCAGGCACGCAGCCAGGGGCCAGGTGAGGCAGTGGCCAGTCGGACTCGGGACCTGCTGTCCAGGGGAGGAAGTTGGCCGGGCAGAGGAGCTGGATGTGAGGCCAGGGAAGCAGAGGGCCTGCGGACATGTGTGCAGAGGAGCGAGGAGCCACACATGCGTGGCGAAGGCGGGGAGACCTGGGGGGACCGGGGCCGCCTCCCCCGCTGAAGACACGCCAGGTCCGCATCTCAGAGGAGCCTCACCGGCCTCTGCACTTGCACGGGCCGCGCCCGTGGCAGCCACGACGTCGTGCCCCAGAGTACTCTTCTTCACCCGCAATGGCCTCGCTTGGCATTTATGTGCATGTCAGGGCTGGGCGCTGTCCAGTGCGTGACGTGTCCCCAGCGTGAGGGACAGCACCCGCCACGGAGCCTGTGCTCCATGGATGCCCGATGGGTAAACCGAAGTCGCCTCGCCCGTCCGGGCCTCGCGCGCCCACTGAGCGGGGGACTCGCGGTGTCGGGTGTCTGCGGCCGCGCGGAGGGGACCGGGCTGTGACTGTCACGGTGTTGAGGCCCGCGGAGAGCACTTGCTAGGCTCCGCTGCAGACGTTTTATAGGAATTAGCGCTGTTTTTATTCTTCACGCTGTTCCTGTAACGTTTGACTGTATTACCCTCACCTTCCAGGTGGGGAAACTGAGGCCTCGAGAAGTCGAGTCACTTGTCCAAGGCCACTCAGCCAGGAGGTGGGCGAGTCAGGATCCGAGCCCAGCTCTGGCGCCCAGGCTCCCAGCCACGCTGCCACCTCTCTCTGCAGGGGACGCCCGCGTGGGCGGGAGCTCGGCAGCGCCCAGCACCCTCACCCAACAGACGCTACACCGGGCTCTGCCACCGGGGGTGATGGCGAGGAGGAAACGAGGCAGTGCCCACCTGGCCCACGTGGTGCTCGGGAAGGGTCCCCAGCTCTCCAGGACAGACCTCCCCCTCCCCCTGCCCTGGGCCGACCCTGGCAGACAGCTCCCAGTGTCCCCTCCCCAGGTGGCTGCTCCCCCACTCCCACTCCCCTGCCAGGCCGCAGCCAGCTCCCCATCCGGGTCCCACCCCCAGACCGGGGTATCCAACAAGTGGCCAACAGTGTGGGGCAGGCCAGCCAGAGCTCTGCACCTCTGCAGCTTGGACTCGAAACACGGAGGAGTGGCCCCGCGGGGGCCCGGTCCTGCCCCCACACTTCACTGGAAGGTCTCCAAGCTCACCCCTCACTCCCCCACCTGCCGCCCCCAGCTTACAGTGTGAGCCTCCGGGTCATGATGCCATCCATGCTGCTGTTCTCCCCCCTCGCCCAGGGCAGGCATCACTAATCCATCACAGACCTCGCTAATCCCTCACTGCTCTGCTTTCCATTCACTCCATGACGTACAGCCTCAGAATCCTCCTTAACACGGCACTCCAGGCAGCCACTACAGATCAATTAGAGCTGGCATCCAGGAGAAAACCTATTTGCCATCCTTGATCCAGTGTGATCAATCATTTTGTAGAAGGAGCCACGGAGCCCCAGAGAGGGAAAGAGGTTTCTCAAGGCCACAGAGCGGCTGACTTGGCTAGGGACCCAGCCTCCTGACTTCCCGCCACACCCCCGCTTTGGCGAGCAGGGCCTGGCAGTGCTCAGAGATGCTTCACGAGGCAAAGAATCGCCCCAGCACCCCAGCACCACCCCCAACCCAGTTCAACTGACACTGCGTCCATCCGCGGGAACAAGAGACCCTGAGCAACGGTGCCTGAACTGGTGGGCGGACTGTCCTCAGAGTCCCCTCCACTTGTCCCCTCCCGGCCAGCTGCACCGCCGTCCCCATCTGCACAAAGCCAACACTTCCAGCCCCCACCCGTTTGGGAAAAGGCAGCTACTCACCACTGCTGGACTTCCTTCTCGGTAACTGCAAGAGAAAACAGAAAAGAGGCCTTTTAGCTCAGGGTGGTGTCCCCAGTGCGGGCAGACATTCACTGGGGGGGCCTCCCTCCCCTCCCGCCTTCCCCACCCCACAGCCTGCCTGGCCGCGTCAGGGCACCGGCCTGCTCTGAACACGAAAATGATGCTCGGTAAACAGTCCCGGTCGGGGCGCTGTGCCCGGCCACCCTGCAGGGGACAACACCGGCCCCGCCCGCTCCCAGTGCCCGCAGTGCTGCTGCTGCTGCTGCGAGGACCCCCAGGGACACCCCCGTATGCTCAAGGGTCCGCTTCTCCCTGCCGCCCTGGGAGTGGCCGGGCAGGACTGTCGCTCCCAGGCCAGCGCTGAGGACACGTTCGTTCCCATCTCAGTCCTGCGGACGGACGGGCAGAGAAGGCCCAGCTTCCCCAGGCGCTCTGTCCCCGAACCCCCCAGCACCCCTCAGCGCTCAGTCCAGTTCTTTTACCCACAAGACACGAACGGAGCCATGAACCGAAGGCTGGAACGAGCCACATACAGTGGCTGAACCTCAAGCCGAGCCGAACGGTCCTTCACTGAACCAGGAACTGAACAGAAAAATGCCGCGGCAGTTCAACTAGGAACCAAACCACGTTCTCTCTAAATTCGCTGAACAAGAACATCGAACCAGCCGGCGCCTGTAATCCTAGCACTCTGGGAGGCTGAGGTGGGAGGATCACTCAAGGTCAGGAGTTCAAAAGCAGCCTGAGCAAGAGCGAGACCCTGGCTGCCAGGGCCTCGGTCTCCCAGCCCCGCCAGGTCTTCCCAGAAACCCTGCCAGCGGTCTCTTCAGTTCCCGCCAGACGATCCTCCGGGGCCGCTTGCCTGCTCGGCGAGCCCGCGCCGCTCCGTGCAAGGGTATCGCGGCCCGGCTTCCGCACGAGCAAAAGCGTGGGAGATAGATAGACTGCGGTAAATCAATACAGCCATACGCCCCAAGCTGCAATCAGAGCGCAGCTGTGGAGGGCGCGGGCAGCCTCGCAAATTCGCTCGTCCCATTATCTTTTGCAACGACTCCCTTCCTGGGCGACCCCTCCCTGGAGGCCTGGAACTCTTCCTCTCCCTCCTCACCACAGCCCGCTGCTTTTGGTGGTGCTCCCATAGCAAGGAGCGGCAGGTCTAGCCCCAGAAGCCTGGGCCATGGGGGTGGCGGTGAGCGTGGAGGCATGCAGTCAGGACCAGAGTCCCCCAACTACAGCATGCACAGCAGCCGTGCGTGACGCGCGGCAAGCTTGTCTCTACCTCTCTGTAGCCCAGTTTGTTTCACCTTTAAAATGGCGTATTCCGTTGGACTCAGCGCCGACGCACGGTGTCCTTAAGGACCAGCACAGTCGACTGGCCCGTGGGGCGCAGTGAGTCGAGAGAGCGGGGTCTCCCGCCATGCCCGCCTGGGGACAGTCAGGCCTGACGGGCAGCGCCTGTTGAGATAGACTTTGGCAATTGCCTCCTGCTTCCACCGCTGATTTTGTAACTGAATACTGCCGAATATGTGGTTATTACGAAAACATAATAGAAACGGAATACAAAAAATCCGCGAAATAGAAGGATGTAAGAGACAAAAGGCCCGTGAATCCATGACCCCGACGCCTACCGCACCTGCCCTCTCTCTTCTCCACCTGCATTTGTTCCTTATCACAGCAATCGTTTGGGTCGACGCACCGTGTGTGGCCCTACTGCAGTTTCCACTCAGGATGAGGTCCGTCGTCACTCAACCAGGGGATGACCTGACCTGCTGCCATCTTAAGTCGAGTCGGCCATGACGCCTGGATCTCCCGAACGGTGGCCGGGCTCAGGTGAGCTGGCAGGAACCCAGGCTGGCTTGCCACGCCGACGAAAGCTCCAGCTGCCTCCTCTGCCGAACACAGACAGGCTGGCACAAGGCAGCCCACGAGTCGAACCAGGCCCGGCACGAGGAGCCACGTGCACCGTAGGGGCGGAGCGCCTGACAGCCCGTCACGTGCCTGTGCTCCTGACAGCCTGATCTGCCCAGGCGCTGACGCCACCGACGCCGGGACCTGGGTCGCGAAGCTGCGGCTCTTTACTCAACTGCCATGGCCGGACAAATGGCAAGAAGCCACAAGAGCCCCACGGGCAGGCTGCGGAAAGTCACACAAAAACAAGACGATCCGACGTCACGGCCGGGGCGAGACGGGAAGCTGAGCACAGAAGGATGTGCGCTGAGTGAGCTGTGGGCGCCATGCTGAGGCTGGAGCCCGTGGGACCAGGCGAACAGCCAAGAAGCTCTGGGCAGGGAGGGGAGCTGGGCAGGGGAGCGGCGACAGGGATCGTAGGATGTCTGTGGGACCCAGGGAGAAATGTGAGTCGCCAGACCTTGGTAGCGCCTCGTGGGCCAGGCGAAGCTGGCTTATTGCCGAGTGCAGTGAAGCTCACGGCGGTTGGGTGCCACTGCGAGCGGCCTCTCCGGATGTGGGCGCTCGTGGCGGGGGCAGCGTGGGGCCGCCAGCACGCGAGCCAGCCGGCCGGGGTGAGCAGTGGCCGACGGTCGGACTCGGACCGCTGTCCAGGGGGAGAGAGTTGCCGGGCAGAGGAGCCTGGGATGTGAGGCCAGGGAAAGCAGAGGGCGGGCGGACAGTGTGCAGAGGGAGCGAGGGAGCACACTGCGTGCAAGAGGCGGGAAACCACTTATTTTACCCTCAGGGGAGCCGAGGGCCATTGTGGGCAAGGGGTTTGCTCAGGGCCCTCCCACGGCGACAGGTCAGGGCCGGGACCGGGGCACAGGCCTGTCCCGGGACCGGAGCAGGTCGCCTGGCGGCAGGGAGTCTGAGGGAGGAGCGGGAGGAGGCCCGGGCCTGTCGGGGCCTGACCTGGCCCGGGGCGGGGGCTGGCGTCGTGTCTCTCAGTCGTCCAGGGGGTGAAATTCTTTGTCCCAAACCAGCAGCTCACTGGGGTGCCGCCGTGGGGAGGGCGAGTGCGCCTGGTCTGGGGCGTCCCGACTCAGCCGGCCAGTGGCAGGCGGGCGGCACCTCCGGTTCGAGGCCGGGGGGCAGCCTGAGAAGGCTCAGCATCACCGCCCTGCCCCAGTGAGGCAGGTCTCCTCCCCCTCCGGCGGAGCAGGCTTACGTAATGTTTGGGTAGCAGCCTCTACACCTCGCCTGCCTGCCTTCGCGGGGGCAGCCCGGCTTGCGGGAGGGCGGGTGAGGTGGGGGCCTGGGAGGCAGAGCCCCGGGGCTGATCCCCGTTTCTGCTGCTCACTTGCTGCGTGACCTCGGGCTGGTCTCCCTCCCTCTCTGGGCCGCTCCCCATACCCAGAGGAGTGGAAGCCGTCAGTGGATTGCTAACCAGGCCCACGGCCGGAGTCTCTGGAGGTTCTTGTTCCAGGGGCTCAGGAGCAAGCAGCCAGACCCCTGGGCTCCGGCCCTCTCTGCAACCTGGGGGCAGAACCGTGCAGGCTGAGCACTGGACGGTCTGCGGGGACCCCGGGGGCTCAGGGGATCTGCCGCACGTGCCTGCCTTTCCGGTGGTCCAGCGGCCGTCACTGGGAAGCCCCGCTGGGCGCTGGCACTGTGCTCTCCAGGCATGATTTTGCCAATCGCCCCAGCAAGCCTAGGAGGCAAGGACAATTCTGCCCACTTTACAGGTGGAGAAGGTGAGGCGTATGAAGGCTGAGTCCCCGGCCTGGCAGAGGGTCTTCACAGACTGCCACATGGCCACCCGCCCCCTCCGGCCCGCTGGCTCCCCCTACCCTTCCGTCCTCAGCTTCCGCACGTCCCTGAGAGCCTCTGACAGCCAGACGGGCGGCGCGCCCAGTGCACCACTCGCAGCGCCCTGTGCCCGCTGGGCCTCAGAGGCACCTCGAGAGTGACTTGTGCAACGACAGGCCAGTGCCCTGGTGGGCCCTTGAGGCAGGGACCCTGTCTTCCAGCGGATCCCGATTCTGTGCTGCCCGCCACCGTCCCACTGCAGGCTGGCGCCTCGTGCCCAGCACGGTCGGGGGCTCAGGTGGGACCTCAGGGCTCCAGAGGACGGGCGGCCCTGGGGTGCACCTGCAGGCCCCCCTGCAGAGAGGTGCTCAGGTGTGCGGCAGGACAGCGCGGGGAGGTCTCTGCGACCGTGACCCCGACCGCTCGCCGTGCTCACGCCTCACTGGACGCACTGAGCGTGCAGGAGTTCCGTAACGTGAGGAAGGAGTTCAACTTTTTTAAAGTTCAGAGAACTAAAAAAAAAAAAAAAAAAAGGCTCAGACTTCTGAATCAGACCAGGGTCGACCTTGGCTCCAACCTTGACCTGTGCGTGGCCCTGGACAGGTGACTTTCCTTCTCTGAGCCTCAGTTTCCTCATCTGTGAGGTGGGACCAATCTGGCACATGCCTTTCAGCGCCCTGAGCGAACCAGGTCAGTCGGGGCTGACACTGTGAGCAACACAGGGTGTCCCGAGCCCGGGACCCGGGACCTCCCCCGATACCAGGGCTGCCCGTCCTGCCAGCTGTGCTGAGAAGCAGGTCCCGGCACACCCTCCGGCGGCCCCGGCACGTCCTCCCACTCCCTGCCCTCCCGGCACACGGCAAGGGAAGCGCCAGGACCCTCGCTGCCCCTCCCCACGTGCACGGAGGCCACACCTCACACGACCTTGCTCACCAGGGGCTTCACCCTCTGGGAATCAGGGAAACCTACGAGCAGAGGCTCGGGCCGGGCTCGGCTGCGCGCTCGGGGTGCCGCGCCCGCAGCTCCCGGCCACGTGAGGCGGAGATTTCTGTGTTTGGGAACCAGCTCTGCAAGACAGGGTGGAGACGAGAAATGAAAGTCCCAGATTCAACAACTGCATTCTTACCCTGCTCTAAAAGGGAAGGGGAAAAGAAATCTGTCACTGCATAAAAATACAGAAGGCTGACTGCCACCTGCAAGACACTTCCCACCTCGGCGCGGGGCTCCTCCCACCCCTCCCCCACCCGCCCCGGCAGCGCCAGCCTGGGCGAGCGCCCACGTGCCCAGGCACCTCGCCCCCTCCGTCCC